AAATAAATTAGAGTTCAAATCGAAAATAATCTTGCACGAATAAAATACCTTAGGAAATGAATTTTAAGATTAAGCTAGACATAGTACCTTTCCTAGAAAATGACACTTTTGGATTATCCATATCTTCTTGAAAGCATAACCAACTCCTTACTCTATAATCTCCGGTCCAAGTACGTGCTAGATTTAGGCTCTTAGTTCCTACAATATTCGATGACAACTCCCAAAATAAATGATAACTCATATCTCCAGAAATTATAAATAATTCAAAAATAAATCAAAATCAGTTTTATTTTTTGAGAGTTTCGTCCGATGTCGGGTAGCAACGAGATCATATGAGTCGAAACTAACGTCATATAATAACTAAAAAATCCTTTTAAAAACTAATTAACGATCCAATTAATAATTTGATGAATTTATTATTTTTTATTTTAATATTTTTGGTTTTTATTGGTTTGCTTTTAAGTATTTTTAGAGTTCAAAATAGCTAAAATAAAAAGCCAATAAAATACTAAATAGGTTACATGTAATAACCCGAACCATTATTAAATGAATTAAAAATATATTAAAGGTGTGACAAAATTAATTCATGGACATAAAATAATTTTTATATGGTTGTTAGAATATTCGTTGTGCTTAAGATCATTTTTTTTGTCTTGAGTGAATATTTTATCTAATTTTTGATGCAAGAATAGTAACTTTTTCTACAAGATAAATGTTTTGAGCATTTTAAATGTGCATGAAAAATGTTCTATTTACATAGAATATTTGCTCAAGAGGTGCTAGATTATTTTATGCCATTGGATGAATTTTCTAGTGTCCAAGTGATTATTTTATTTGAACTTTACGAGGCATGAATACTGTTTTTTAGGCAAATTAATTATTTTAGGTGTTTTAGAGGGGTATACAAATTATCCAATGGACATAGAAAAATCATTTAGGATGTGTAGAAATATTTCATGAACTTAGATGAATTTTTCTATGCATAGGGAATATTTTCTATAGCAATAAGTGCATTTTTACACAAAGTAATTAATTTGATGGCTTAAATAAGTGTATAAAAATTATGTGAATGATGAATAAATTCTTATAGGAGGTTTTTAATTTATTATGCAAATAACTTAATTTTTGAAAAGTGTAGAATAAATTTTATAGAAGTAGGGACCTAATTGCATAAAATTAGAGACCTAATTGCATAAAAATTAAGAGTTTAAAATTTTAAATTAAATTAGAAATCAACTTTAGGAAGTAAAAATTTGTTAGAAAACCTTTAAAGGAAGGACCTAAAGGAATTAATTGGTTAATTGGAGGACTTGTGGAGAAGTAATTGTAGGAAAGTTTGCCCAATTGAGGGACTAAATTGGAGCAACTTTTGGAAGAGATTTTTTCTCCTCTTTGCTGGCTTTGAGTTACATGATTGGGGTTGATTAACTAAGATTGACTTGTGGATTAAATGGATGGTTAAGATTAAGCTAAATGGAGGGTTAAAATTAAAGAAAAATAAAAGGCTAAGATGAAAGCAAATGAAGGGCAACGATTGAAAGCAAGATTAAGGGTGAGGATTAAACCAAATGAAGGGTGGAGATCAAGTCAAAAGTCCACCCAAGCTCACCTATAAATATGGGTGAAAAAGATGAGAGAAAAATGATAGGAAATTAGAAAATTTAAGGTGAACTCTTGCAAATTTTCCATAGAATTCCACTTGAAATCTCACCTAAACACTTCCGAAAATCTTAAACCATCTAATTAAGCATAGAATTCAATTTAAAACACCAAAAATTCCGAGGAGGAAAACTTGAAGATTAGGTCAAAAGTTTAGTGAGAAAAGAGGAAGGAAGAAATTCCAAGGCAAATCAACTTTTCAAGGTTTAATTAGAGCTATCTAGGTAAGTTAATCTCATCTACAGCATAAGAAAGTGTTATTGAATGTCAATTGTTGTTTCTGAACCCTAATTTTATGTTTAATTGAATTAATTTTGAAAATTAGGGTTAGGGTTCTTAGTTAGGTCAAGTTGGGGAAAATGATTTTGACCTAGAAATTCATTTAATTGATGTTGAAACATTTTAATTGGGCGTGAAATTGATAATGAAAAATAAAAAAACTCCTAAGGTTAGGAGAGAGAAACCATGCGACCAAAATGGACAAATTGGAGAGGGGGTTGATGCTTTGATTTTTTTAATGTTTAATTGCTTGATTAGGTTTTAGTGAGGCATATTAAGATGATCTAGTGCAAAAAGTTACATTAAAATTAAAAATTTCACCTAGTTTAGCTTAGGTGGCAATTCGGCCCATTAGGCCTAATTTAGGGTATGTGCATGCTATTAGTTTATGAATGCTTAATTAATTAAATTCTTAATATTAAAATGTATTTGAAAGAATTAGCATGAGAAATTAACATCGAAATTAGCAAACATTACCTAGCCTAAGTTAAAGACAAATTCGGAAAACATTAAGGAATTTAGGGTTTATAGTTTGCCTTATATGATTTGGTTGTGATGTGGTTTATGAGTTGCCATTGATGTATATAATGTGTTTATCATATGTAGAAGTTGTGAAATTGATGATTGATGTAGTGTAATACCTTGGTTTGTTGCCATTGTGTGTTATGTAATGCTTATATTAGTGGTCTTATTTGGAATAATTTGGATGGCAATGCAAGGTATGAATATTATGGTGCATTTATAATATTGAGATAAGCATCATTATGGTATAAATGCACATCATTCATGGCATGCATTACATGGAATCATAGTGATTATGCGTTTACATTAAAATCCATATGCATGCCAAGTTATGGAAAGGATTTCATGGAAAGAGTTTTAAGTTATGAAAAAGGATTTTTCTATTAAGAATTTTTCAATAGCAACTAAAAATATTTCATGATTCATGGATTTCACGGTTTCATGGTCCCTAACAGTTCCTTCACCGAAAAGCCGGCATTGGCCAAAGCCAAAGAAATTCTTCAAGTTGGGGAAGCCCCACTGGAAGGAAATGGCATTTCTCATTGAGGGAAATGATATTAGCCTCGACTATGGAAGAATCGGTAATAGCCCCACAAGAGAAATGCTTAGGGAAAGAGGGTCGAGCCTATATAGACACGTATAGTTAGATGATTGGCAAGGAGCGTACGAGCATAGAAAAATGTTTTGAAGATCGATCATGGAAAATATTTCAAGGCATGGAAATGATTTCGAAAAAGACATGAAAAATGATTTTTCATGTGCATATATACACGCCATACATGATTAACTTACCGAGCAATCGCTCACCTAATTCTTGTAGTGTAGGAATCAAAGGTAAGACAAATGGCGATATTCTCGATTGACTCGACTACTAAAGGACCACTCCCGATAGTTCGTCATCCGTATCTTACATGTGGATGTAAGCTAGACCTCCTCCTCACTCGTTGTGCTTTTAGTTATTGGTGTTTTAGCATATATACTTGGGTATGGCATCTTTATTTTATATAATAGTTAAGGTTATGAACAAATGAGTAGTTAGTTAGAAAGGAAATGAATGTAAATAAATAAGTGATTTTTGTAGTAGGTGATATAGAACCGGTATATGTAAATTAAAGATAGTCTATATATTAATTGAAATGTCGATAGTAAAATAATGGTAGCGTAGCCATAGTTAGTGTAGATTTTTTTAAGTTATTTTCTTACACACTAGCATTAATAATATAATAAGAAAGCAGAAGAGATAAGAAATTAATTATAATACATGATAATTAATGAAGATAAACAAAATTAAATACCGAATAAGGAGTAATAATTAAATAAACTTATACAAACTAAGAGAAAAAGGAATTTGAAAAAATTGAGTGTTGTAGATCCGATCCATTCGGTCCAAGCAATTAGAATTAGAATAAAATAATAAAATGCAAAAAATTTATAGTACATTTTGGACTGAAATGTAGGACATATTCTTCATTTATAGGTTTTCGCAGAGTAGTCCATACCTAGTAATATCATAAGAAAGACATAGTACTTTATTGGCTTGCATTCATTGCACTTCGAATGTAGGTTAACGTCGATAATATTCTCGACCTACTAGGTTCTAGGTCGGGGGTGTTACATTACAAGAGATAAAAAAAAAAATACTTATATGTATATATATTAAAGTTTTACATGGTGTACAAATAGGAAAATAATGCAAAAACAAACCCCAAAAGATTGGGCTAGAGGTTAAAAAGATTTGTTTTATTTTTTGGGTTCAAATTTTAACAATAGTATCCAAAAAAAAAAAAATTATTAAATTCTTATGAATGTAATAGACTAATGTGAAGAGTTCATCTTGAAAATTATTTAAAGCATGATTTAATTTTAATTGTTGCAAAAACTAATACAAAAATATCTTTATCATCCAAAAAAAAACCAAAAATAGTCCATAATAATAATAATTATTATTATTATTTAAGTAGTGGGTCGTGGATATCTAGTTTTTATGACTCTAATCAACAAATAAATTGGACAAAGCATCGCCTAACTTCTATTTCGATGACATTGATAAATTCGCCTAACTTCTATTTAATTTTTTATTCATGGTACGTGCTTCTACCCCAACCCTGCCTAGTGATTGCAAGAAACGTAGATTCATCTCTTCCTAATCTTAATGATTGCAAGAATTAGTTGCACGTCTGTAATAGGTCAAGGAGTTTATCGTCAATATTTGATTAGATTATTTCTTACAAACGTGTGGAATCATTTAAGGCGTCAACTGTTATCATAGCAGCAAGTGCTGAATTCAACCGGTAACTTGTGGTGATGGAGCCCATGTCCCACAGGCAGCGCTGCATGATATTGGCAAGCACGTTGAGGAGGATGCCACCCCACTTAGAAAATAAAAGAAACAAACAAGAATACTGATTAATGAAGAAGAATTTTTACGTCAAACTAGCCAGCAAAGTCCCCACGAAAAAAGACATATATTTTGCTCCTCGCAGGTCTTACTAACATATATTCCTCAGTTTCCCACCCAAAATTGCGCTCCAGCCTGCAAAATGGCTCCATTACGTACAAGATTACCGAAATTTTGTGTTAGTCGATCCATGGCTCGTGTTCGGGTCCGTTCTCCATCTCTTCGATCAAAACCCACCTCTAATTCCGTCCAAGGTGATCAAAAGGTGGAATTTTTGGGCAATGGCACGGAGAGTTTTGCTGGTGATCATGGTTTTGGAAATGGCAACAAGGTTATGGTGGTAGTCGATTCGAGCCTTGAAGCAAAGGGTGCTCTTGAATGGGTCTTGTCTCACACTGTTCAGAACCAAGATACCATTGTTCTTCTGTATGTTTGTAAGCCATCCAAAAAAGGTCAGATTACTTACCACATATATGTTGAGATTAATAAACGGAGTAATCATATACTAAGGTCAATAATTATTTTTCAATTCAGGTCCTGAGTCTAGTTTGGAGCAGATTCTGAGGGCTCACGAGACGCTTCAATCCATGAAAAATATGTGTCAAGGGAGAAGGCCAGGGGTAAGTGACACTGACATTGAAATAATTTTAAGCTTTAAAGAATTAAGTCCAGACAAGACAATAAGACATTAAAGTCAACAAAGGCAAGGTAACTAGAAGGTGCACCATCCCTAGTGCCAACTGCCAACCATGCTAGCCCAATATCTTTTCTTTTTAATTTTTAATCAGAAAGATATATGTCAATAATTAAATTGACGGTTTCTGTATTAAGACGTTCATATTTTAGGGAAGCCAGAAACAATTTTCTTTGGCTACTTTAACAGCAACTATGATAATTAAAAAAAAAAAAATTCATAAAGTTGTTGGTTTTAATTATTTTTGTAAGGTGCAAGTGGTGGTGGCTATGCACGAAGGTAAAGAAAGGGGTCCAATGATAGTGGAAGAAGCAAAACAGCGAAGAGTGTCACTGCTTGTGTTAGGGCAAAGAAAACGATCAATAATGTGGCGCCTTATGAAGAGATGGGCAGGGAAGAGGAACCGCGGTGGAGCCGGGACAGTGGAGTATTGCATCCAAAATGCTTCCTGCATGACAATTGCAGTGAGGAGTAAAGGCAAAAAACTTGGAGGTTATTTGATTACCACCAAGCGTCATAAAAACTTTTGGCTGTTGGCTTAGATTTATTTCTTTTGCATGATCTACGAGAATCGACTCTGGGAAGCCTGCCCTTCAATGAAATGGGGGAAAAAAACAAAAACAAAGCAAATGCTAATTGTTTGTTCAAGTGATTTTCTTAGGAGTAAATGCAGAACTTTTTGGTGCCAATATTTCAAGCAATTGAAACCATGCAATTGGTACCGTCCAGTCTACCATGGCAACACGCACCCATTTTAGGGAAACTTAAATACAACCCTTTACTCGGCAGGATTTCTCACGTTAGTAGTGCTACCTTCGTTGAGATGGGCGCTGCCTGTTCATTAGAAATGCCAGGAAATTGTCCTTGTGGCTACACACATTCCATTCAGCTTACTGCATAGTTGCATTAACTTCTTGGGCTCCTTAAAAACAAGCAGATGAGAAGACAACATGGATTCTGTTACTAAAAAGAATCTTTAGTTTCGTGTCCCTGTGAAGACATAAGATCTTACAATTTGAATAATTTTGACATGATTATTACATTACACTGATCTCATCATATGATCCTTTAGTTTATTCCAGGCCAATCTCTCCCCCTTTGACCTATCTTACATTTCCAGATGGATTGTCAGGTTGGTTTTCAAAATATCTGTGCAAATGAGGAACATGGAAGCTATCCTTTGATCTTCCATAGGCATTCAGGGCGAAACCTGAACAAAAAATCAATGTCACTGCTCTACTTTACAAGCATCTTCCTCCCCTCCCTCCCCTCTTTTTTTATCATTTACTTCTCAAAATTGTCAACGGCTATTTACCATGGGAATCAGCCAATGAAGCTACATCGCATGTACAGGATTTCACTTCAAGACATTATTATGTGGCTCGAAAACATAGCCATGTCTAACTGCAGTTCTGTGCAGTTGATCATACCCTGCAAGTACGCCAGCTCCAGCCACACCAAGAAGCATATTTGCAGTAACTCCTCGGAATAGTGCTCTAAAACCTTCAAGGCGAATAATCTCATGAAAAGCATGCATGGAATTGCGATACTTCACAGGATGTCCGGAAGTAAGCATCATTCTCCGTCTCAGAGTGTCGAAGGGATAAGCACAGAATCCAGATACAGTGGTGATGCTCCAACCCAACAAAAAACTAGCAAAGAAATTCCCCTGCAAAATACACCAACAAGGCATCATTACTCGTGTAACTTCATGAACTTGTGGTACAAAGAAACTAAAAATAGTATCACACCAGCCCAAAGAATAAGATAATGATAATAAGATAATGCTTGTGGTGTATTATTACTATTCATCAGGAAATGAGCCCATCGAAAAATAAGATGATTTGAACTTGGTGAGGTTTTATAAAGAGTTTGTCAACAGCCTTCAATCAGAGCCCGGGATCATGATTCATTAAAAATTTTCAAGTTTGACATGGACCCTTTCTAGTCCCACACTTTAATGATCCCACGACACTAAATAACTGCTCAAACATTCATGTAACAACATCTAGAACCACACTTAAAGTCAAAGGTTAGATGCAAATTCAGTCCATTTTGAACAGACAAGCCCGAACTAGATAGGTCCACAACAAAAGGCAGATGTGTTTACCTCAAAAGATCCCACCAAAATGATAGGCTTCATGGTGTCATAGATACCAAAATACATGCCTCTGTAAAGAGTAATTCCCAGTGTTGAAACCCCAAATCCCCTATACAGACCTACAATTCCATCACTTGACAAAGTTTTGTTGTATACATCTAATAACCCTCTAAATTGGCGTTGACCATTTACTGGGCATGCCCTTGCATCAGTCCCTAGCCGGGTACGTGCATAATCCAAATGATACAGAAACAGTGAAGATGTTGCTCCAGCGGCACTTCCAGAAGCAACATTCCCAGCAAACCACTTCATGTAACCATCTTTCTCTTTCGAGCATCCAAAAAAGCTTTTGAAGTAACCTTTGAATGCAAAATTGAAAGCCTATGGACAATCGAACATCTGTTTCAGTAATTAAATTAGACAGGAACATAAATTGCAAATAAGAAAATATGATATAAAAGAAATCTTAAACAAGAGTGCAAGTCAGCAAACTTCAGTGCGAAACAATTAAATCACTGAATCCTTTTGATATGTATGTTTAGCACAAAGTTGCTTATGATATTTCACCAGTCACACACTCAATCATAAAACAAAGGTTACAGAAGTCATGCTCAAATATTTAATTGAGCGTATGAAATTCTAAATTGGAACTTAACATTCAACAATGTTGATCAATAGTTAGCACATAATCAGCAAGATAACTGATCCAAAGGTCTTAAAAGCAATGAAGGACAGAAAAATGAATTGGTGTTAAGTGGTCTGTGTATGGAGAGTGTGAATCTTCAAGAGAGAAAATCTTATGATACGTTTGTGATCTCTTATGATAAATATCTGCATCAGAAACTTATCTTAATGCTTGAAAGTTAGACAGGGTGGACTTACACAGGATTATGTTGCCCCAATTTTTAAGAAATACAAGATGCTCATTGAATAATAAGAGTCTAAGCTTCAGTACTAAAATGGAGAAAATAAAACAACATGCACATAATGAGCTGCCGAAAAAGGAAGAATAGGCCAAATCAAACACAGTTTACATCTAAAAGACAAACCAATTGGAAAAATCAAAATACAGTTTTCATCTTAAACTATGCTTGTAATGCTCTAGGGGGAAAAAAAAAACAAAAACAAAAATAGAATCAATTTGAGAAAAATAATTAAAACAGAATCTATTTGGAGTAAAACACTTCATTTCATCAATCTTCTGGACGCCATTTTATCCTTCCTAACAATTAAGTGATTTTCTGAGAATAGATATTGTGGAGGGTCTTCTTTGAGATCTGTCAATTGTTTAACAGTTTAGGTATGCATCACTTGTATATGGGAGAGCAGGAAGAATGTCTAGTAACAGAACATCTAATACAAAATGCTGTTTAAAGCATGCAGTCTCATCCATGGCCTGTTTCTGATCATACAGGCCTTCCTCATTCACAGAATGAAGCTCACTCAGCACCATTGAGGCCCTTCATATCTTCTAGTACTAAAGATTAAAAGTAGGTTGGGGTTTGTGGTAATAAAAGTATATTAAAATAATAATAATAATAATAATAAGAATTGCAAGAATTGCAGTATTTTAAAGCATCAAAATATTGGAAAAACACTGAAAAATATATGTTGCAGTTTGATTCATTAGCACTGAAAAAAAAAACAAAGAGTGAAATTTTAAAGAGAAGAGATGAGTCATTTCCAATTCCTCCAATAGCAAGTATCCTGGCTTAGTTTATTCTTCGTTGACAAGCCATGACAACAATAACTTATATTATTATATTTGAGGGTTTAGCAACAGTCCGCATTCCATATCTTAATTGTGTGTTAATTTGGAGGGTAAGAATCAGAAACAATATTAGATAAACTTATTATGCCATGCCAATCATTATATCATTAAACTCTCGGACAAGCATAGAACAAGCATTAACAGAGTAAAGCACAATCATTATATCATTAAACTCAAAAACTGTAGAATAAACCCCAAAACAGTTCCCAAAAAAAGTATTTATTTTAGGAGAAGCATGTTATGTTATGTTATGTAGAGAGAAAGTAAAAGATGTTGAAGGAAATAGAAGAACCTGGGTAGGGAGATATCGAATGACATTGGCCTGGTTACCTCTCCAGAAAGAAAAAGACCTTCTTCTCTAAACACCCTTTTGAAACAATCACGAATACCCATGTAAGGTGTTTTGAGTTGGCCTCTCTTAATCATCTCTCCTTGATTTTGCAACAAAAGCTTCACTCTTTCAATTGGTGCTGCAGCACTCTTTGATGCTACTGCTGCTGCTCCTCCCATTACAAAATCTGCATAAAATTTCTCAGATTTTGATTTCGTTCCCATTTCCTCTCCTCTCTTCAGCCCTGCAGATGTTATAATTGTAAACTGCAATGCAATCCAAAATTATAAAAACAACAATAATAATAAATAAATGAATAAATAAAGGATTTATAGAGAAGTAAAAACCTGTAGCCTCTGAATTTGGAGATGGGAAATTTCTCTACTTTGAGAAGGAGGAGGGAGTGGGAGAGGAGAGAGAGTATTCTTGCAGATTTTTTGGAGCTGGCAATTTGAGAGGCAGGGTTTATTCTCTACTAGCAAAAAATAAAAATTAAAAAAAAAATGGTAGATTTCAAATTTTTACCTCAAGTTTAGATTCTTTATCATAGAACTCCCCAAACTATATTTTTACTCAAACAACCCCAAAAAGTTTTAGGATAACCATTTAATTACGACAAACCCAAAAATTCTTTGGAGCTGGCAATTCGAATGGCAGAAGTTGCAAGTTGTTGGTTATTGTTGTGCTAAGAGCGGTGGAGCTGATAATAGTGATCCAAATGATTAATAATGCAAGGGACACATCATGAGTTGATGTCGTGACAAATTGCTAATGCCAGTTTTTATGCTAATTATTTTCCTCCATAAAGTTAAAATATGTTATCCTAAATTAATTTATAAATTGATAGGAATATTTTTTTTAATTATTTTCTTATGTGTTTCGTTTTGAAAAATAAGGATATTAATGTCTTAGAAAATATCTTTTACAAAATAAACACGACCATTCAATTAATTCAGATGTTGTTCGATATTATTTTATTTTTTTATATATAAAATACAATGTTCAATATGTTTATTTGGGGGTTTGAGTTTTCATTTCTTTAGGAATAAAACAAAACACAAAATAACTTTGTGAAAATTACAAAAAGTCAGTTTTTGTTCTTCATTCATTGCTCTATCTAGTCTCTTGTAAAATTATCAACCACACTTCGCCCATATATTTCACATCATCAATCACCAATTAGTCACATATATTATCATCAAATTTTAGTAAATCGACTGCTAAAATGTCACAAACATGACATTAAATCTAAAAACCCACTAACAAAGAAAACATAAACGGTCACCAATCATCAATTCACAACATTAGGCTTCCTTTAGTCTCAAAAAAATAGACAAATTCCTAATGCATACAAAATTCCTTACTACAAAAAAGATAATACTATCCCTAACATTAACTATGTTATTTTTTCATTCACTAACTACAATATAAATTTTTTAGTAATAGAAACAAAATATTTGTATATCCTATTGAGAGACAATTTGTTATTTGCTCTCCTCTTGCCTAATAGGTAAAGATTTACTTTCGTAGAAAGGATGATTCATTCGGATCGATATCATCACTCATCGATTTTATTAAAAATGTAAGTTATTTATATTTATAATGATATTTTTAAGCAATCACAATAACTCATATAGTGAATAAGAAAATTCAAGATTGATTTGTATTAGTAAAGAGGCATTTGTATTGTGTAAAACATTTTACATGAAACAAACCTAAGAAAATCAAGAATTTGTTTCCTACAAATATTTTATAGTAAAATTATTCAATATAAATGTAATAACTTGTCCTAAAAATAAGATTTAAGTTTTTTATAAAAAAAAAAAAAACATGGTTCGAACTTATGAAAAACGGGACAACTTGTGTCCCTCACTTTTCTTTCTTCTTCCCCTCCGTTTTTCTTCCTTATTCACTCTCTCAACTTCCTTCCATTTCCCTCCTCTAACTTCTAAGTTAAAACCTTGCCTAATTAACTTAGAAAAATCATAAAACAAGTTGATTAAAGTAAAGTTTAGCTAGATTAAAGCTTGAAAGGCTTAGAGGGTTTAGGATCGAAATTTGGGATTATAGAGCCAATTGTCAAAGGTAAGAATTTTTATCATATGTTCTTTAAATGGAGATATTTATATGTATTTATTGATGATTTTAAAGTTAATTTGTATTAGGTTGTTAGAATGAAGGGATGAGATAGATTAATGTTAGGGTTTTGAGACCCATATGGAAAATAGTCAATTAAGTGATTTTAGTTATCTTGGATTAGTGATTTATGAAGTTGAATCCCGATAAATTTGACTAAATTGAGAGGTCAAAGATGATGAATAGTAAAAAATTTGAAATTTGGGTTTTGAATTGAAAAGAATTTGAAAAAAAATGAAGAATTAAGTTATATAAATACAATTAAAGATGAATAAAATGAGAATTGAGTAAATTGGAATAGAATTAATGATTCAACTAAGAAATTCTCAATTTAGTTGGGATGATGAGTTATATTGAAAAGATGGTATATGTAAAGATTGAAAGAGAATTTATGATGGAATATAGTTAGGTAATTATCTAAAATTAGTTGAGAGAGTAAGAGTTTACTTAAAGTTACCAGACTTGAATCTTTTTGACCAATTTCATTTTTATAAATTATCTTGTATCTCGATTTCTAGAATAATTTATTTATTTGGAATTATTCTTTTGATATGTGATATTGATGATTATTTCATTATTTTGTGTTATTAGATTCTTCGAGCGGACAACTCCATCTCGACGAACCATGATTTTATTCGATCTTTTAATTGTATCGTGAGTGGATATTATAGAGCATATTATGTTTTTAAATTCCTTCGATATATCTATCATGCATCATTGATTTAACTACGATACAAGCACATTCATTGGAATTTAGATAGGAGCGAACCCTAGTGCAATTGAATTGATTTCATATCGAAAATGGTTTGATATGATTTTAAAAAAGCATTTAAATATATATATTTGAATGAGTGTTTTACTTATGGTTTGATATGTGATTATGGATTTAAATACTAGTTTAATTTAGATTTTCATTTTTATTTATTCGTATAATTTTAGTAAGTGTTTATTTGATATTGAATTGCACTATCAAATTTGATTTTGAGCATGAATTGTATTTGAGGTGTTAGATTTGTATATTTTTGAAATATGTATAATTTATGTATTTTTTATTTGATTGGTTACCTTGGGGTACCTAGCTATAGGAGGCACAGTCCGTGAGCTCACCGATATGAAAATGCTCTTGCTAGTAAGAGAGGTGTAGAGTTAGTTCGCATGTTAGCCAATATACGAAAACCTAACTATGGGAGGCGTAGCCTTTAGGTGTTTGCATCCAATGATATGTTATGCTTGTTTCACCTCATGTGTAAATTTAGATATTTGATTGGATTATGTGGTATATAAATTTTGATGATTTGATATGATACAAGATTTGATATTTATAATATGCATTTAACTTTGAGAAATAACCATTGCATCTTGAGTAAATTTAAATTATCATCTTTAGTCCGTTTTTCTTCCTTAGATATGTTATATAGTATCTACTTACCGAGTTATTGATTTGTTAACACTTCACTATTTTAGTTTTGTAGGGTTTGCGAGATTGCCCTTTTTACTTCCATAAGCTACTTGTCTTGAAGCTAGCACATTGATCTTATGGCTCATTTACTTGTAATCTCTTGGAACTTGTGAATTGATTTGTTGTATCCTTTAGAAACTCTGCAATTATATTTGTGGGAGTTGTATTAGAATTTAATTATGGATATTGTTTTGAAAAATGCAAGAATAGTATAGAATTTTCATCGTATTGAAGTTATAAGATATTAACTATTAGTTGTGATATTGTAAATTAGAAAGGATATTTGATGTGGTATAGGTTTGAAAATTATAGTTTAGATATTCGAAACTTCTTGAGTTGAGGTAGGTCTTACGGTTCGCTCAATTCTCGCATCGATCATGACCCACTTCGGGGTCGTGACAATAAAATATTTTACGATCAACCTTTGAAGTTAATTTATTTGTAGAAAAATATTTTTAATTCACGAAGTTTCATAAAATACTTTACAAATAGAAATTCACTCACAATATCATCTAATTATTTCAATCACAATCTCGCAACCATTGCCACTAACACAACTCTACTAATATCACCACCACCACCACAACAATTTTATTGCCACCACCACTTCCACCTTCATTGTTCCACCACCATCACTTTACTACCATTATTACCTCTATCTCCACTTTTATCATCATTACAATTATTTCTACATTAACCTTTGTTACCGCCATCATCGATATCATAATTACTATTATAACCATAACCATTACCACAATACATTATAATCACTATTTTACTGTTATTATTTTTTTTAAATCATTATTTATAAATATTGTAAATTTTTTTTTTCATGTAAAATATTTTATGATCCGCGCAAAACAAACATCCCCTCAACAAGTGTTTGTCCCTAGCTCAAAAAAAGAAAAAGAAAAGAAAAAAGGCATCGACTGTGGTAAGTTTGATATGCTTGCTGGCTGTTTCATTTTTACTTGTTCTTTCCCTCTCATAAAACTTTCACTCCATAGACAGCCACAGCCAGGCTGAGGCCCCTCGTTCATTTCAAATATATAAATATAAAAGGAGCCAGACAGACAACTTTGGTTGAAAATCTCTACTCTCTCTTGTATTTTTACCATTTACAGAGACAAAACGCAGATCACAATCATTCTCTTCTTGCTCTTTCCATTTGAACCAACCACCTTCAATTCGATACACTATTCTTTCCCTTTTCTTGATTATTATTTCTGTGTCTGTCTCACCTTCGATTCTTGATGAGTTTATAGCTTTTTTGGTAGCGTTATGACTGTTTCTTGCTGGTATTTTAAATCTTGGGTGATGGGTGGATTTGGAAAATCTTGATTTCTTTTTAGTGGTGAATTGTGAAGAAATATGAGGAGGCGACCGGCAGAGTACCGGCGCCAAGTTAGAAGGAGGTTATCGCAGTGGATCTGGGCGCTTCTTGGGATGTTCTTGATTGCAGGATTGGTGTTGTTTGTGTTTCACCACAATCACCATGAAGATCAGGTTAAGCAGCCCATAATGGTAAGGTTTACCTAACATATTCAGAACCCCATTTCCTCTTGTCCTCTTTAATATGCCTATTTGATCTTGTATGTTTCAATGAATTTGTTTTTAAGTCTATTTTGTTTGATAAATTCAGTGGGTTTTTACGACACCCTATTGATCCAGAAGCTTTAATGAGTGCATTTGATTGATAAAATATGTTGTTTCAATCATATGGGACTTTCAATAATGTGATTCAGTGTGAATTACAATAGTTAAATTGTTTTTCTTATTAATCAGTAAACTTCCAGTGTTTTAAATGCAAGAGTTCTGTAAAAAATAGGATTTGAATTAATTACAGAACTCTTCTGTTTGCTACTCTGAGCTTCATATTGGTGATGGAAATTTTATGGCATTTCTGCTCGAAATAATGATGTTTCTTTTAGACATGTTTGTGTTCATCATTTCTGTGGTATGCACTTTACTTAGAAGTCGGAGAGCAAGTATGCTCATGAGTTTATAGTTTGCGATTTTATTTTCACTTCTCAATAGGGCAGTTTGTAACACAGTTTACTGGATCTTGGTGGCAATGGCTAAGCATATTGATGTGGACAACTTGTATCTTTTTGTAGAAAAGGGTTTTTTTTTTTTTTTTCCCCGGGAAATCTGGAAATTTGTCTAGGTTTTATTTTTTATTTAGTATTGTATTAGCTTTATTTGGTTTTTCCTATTCTACATATGCTTAGTATTTTCTTATTTAGGAACCTAAGTCCTTATTGGATTTGGACTACTAGAACTCTATAAATAAGCATGTTGCCTTTCAATATTTTCAATAACAGTTTATGAATAAAAGTCCAGCAATTTGCTTTTGATTGCATGACTCAATCTCCCTTAGGTGTGACTTCTAAGAACCCTAGTCTTGAAGCTTAGTTTTTTCTATCCTCTAGGTGTGACTTCTTGAAACCCTATTAGTTCTACAATTCTCAGCAGAAATCCACATCAATACAGACATAAACAGCCCTAACAGCCTCTAAACTCAGATCCAGAACAGCCCCCTAAGCTGTCCTGCATCAATTATAGTTGGTTTTATTCCTGTAGAATATTGGAATGTTGCATTGAGGCATTTTGATGCTGGTTAATAGGTATTGGACGCATTCTTAATTAGGAACTCATGAAGCAGCCATGTGATTGGGAATTTCCAAAGAGAAAGGAGTGAGGATATCATGCAAACTATGTTCACAATTACTTTTGTATTCCTTTGCAAAGGATGCGAACCATTGTAGTGTACTGTTTCTAGTAATCACATTGTGCTGTTTAGGGATTCTTATGGTAGATTGAACATAATTGGTGTAAACATAGATTATTCAGGACTTGGGTTTACCTACTTTTAGGTTTTACCAGAACCTATTCATCTATCATAGCATCCGTAGTATCCTGTTGTTAAGTTTCAAACTAACCGTTGCAAAAATTTTGGAAAATTTTTTTTTAGTCTTCTTGTGGAAGAGTGCTGATGGAAGAAGCAATTGTCTTTTTCTTGTCAACTATAGCTGCTTCTCATATGATAATGTTAGGGTTGTTGTCAGGGAGTAAAGAAACAAATAAGTTTATTTATATATTTGATGAATTCTGACATGCTGTCTTGCCAAAACTACAACTGTGGTAGCCATGGTTTCACTAAAAGTGGTTCTATATGCTCTCTTGTTTGAGCAACTGTTTATAGGATACATGACCTTCTTGGTGCCTGTTTGATGCTGCTATGTGCTGACAACAGAACAAGTATTTGGTAACATGGTGCTTTTTGGGGAATTTGTAATCTCACATATGGAGATAAAATCTGCTGTTGGGAAAGCAGGGATAGGGGTGCTTTCTCCAACAGCAGTTTTTCAATCACTATGCTGCCATTAACATGAAAGGCTACAAGATGCTTAATCACATGATGTATAATTTTCTTATAGATCCAGCTTATTAAGGTCTGGAGTCTTTCCATGGTCTCTCTGATTTTTTTTTTTTAATCTCTTCTTGTTCATTAATGTAACTGGCTAAATTATGCTGAGAGTTTTAAGATGACATGTGTCATTGGTTCTTTATCCTTTTCTTTTGTGCCCTTAAATCTGAGCATTTCTGCTACACTATGTTGCACAAGAACTGAAGCTACTGGTACTTTTTTTTTTTCTTCCTAAATTGCTTTATGTTTATGATGCAATGCAAGTAATCTAGTCCTGGATTTTTTCATTTCCTCTTAATCATGTGACTGAAAAATACAGTAAATGGTGGAAATGCACTTTCAAATATTTTAAATGTTAGAAATATATCTAAAACGCATGCAAATGGATGTAATCTTTGAAGTATATGCCCTTGGGCATAGATTTCAACATTTATATGATTCAATCGATGGTTTTTGTGCCCTTTCTTCATGAAGTTCTGCACTTTACTGAGTATAGGTTTTTTTTCTTTGTCATGCCTCATGAGGACCATAGGTTATGAGAAGAGTCATTACACAATTGAATATTTAGTATCTTACAGTACATCCATAGGTCCTATGCTACTGTATTGATCTGAGAATGGAGAGCATGTATTTTAACTGTCTGTTTTGGTGAAAATGAATTGCCTGAAATCAAAAGAGGCTACAAATGCTATGTTTCTTAACTAGGTCATAGAATTGCCTTATTTCCATTTTCCCTCCATATTAGTGTGATGTTGAGCTTGGCCAAAACGGCTAATCCTGTAGTTTTGAGAATATGGGTAAGGCATCTAGTTAATCTGCGGGCATCGATCCCTTCTGACCAGAATTTTTTTTTTTTTTTTTTTCTATGTCACTCTAACCAATCAAGTAAGATCAGAAATAAAATTTGTTTTGCATGCATCATTATGTGTTCTTTATTTTTGGATGGCTAACATGCCTCAGCATTATTCTTTAAATGATCAATTGATGGAGAGAAACAGAAGTTTGTATTGTAAAATGTGAGTTGCACAAATTTTCACAATACAACATTTCAAGTCATCTGGGAGTAATTACAAGCACTGTTCTGTTTAAGATTTACTGACTTACTGATTGTTCTTTGCCAGGGTGAAAATGCAATAAAAGAGCCTCTAAACCGTGAGGTTTTGAATTTTACCAAGGAAATATTAAGTGCCAGCTCATTTTCGCGGCAGTTGGCGGAGCAAATGACACTTGCCAAGGCTTATGTCATTATAGCGAAGGAACACAATAACCTTAATCTTGCTTGGGAACTGAGTAAAAAGATCAGAAGTTGTCAACTTTTGCTTTCAAATGCTGCCATGAGAGGGGAGCCCATAACAGTAGAAGAAGCAGAGCCAATAATCAGTAGCCTATCATTTCTAATTTTTAAGGCACAAGATGCTCATTATGATATTGCAACCACCCTGATGACAATGAAATCTCATATCCAAGCCCTAGAAGAGCGAGCAAATGCAGCAACAGTTCAGAGCACAATATTTGGCCAGTTGGTGGCTGAAGCTTTGCCCAAGAGTCTCCACTGCCTGAAAGTAAAGCTCACAAATGACTGGCTTACGCAGCTGCCCCTCCAAAACCTTGCAGAGGAGAAAAGAAACTCCCCTCGAGTCGTGGACAACAACCTCTACCATTTCTGCATATTTTCAGACAATGTGCTGGCCACCTCTGTGGTAGTGAACTCCACAATCTCCAATGCTGACCATCCAAAACAGCTTGTCTTCCACATAGTAACAAATAGCATCAGCTATGGATCCATGCAGGCTTGGTTTCTAACTAATGACTTCAAAGGGGCCACTGTTGAAGTGCAGAATATAGAAGAGTTCTCCTGGTTGAATGCTTCTTATGCTCCTGTTATCAAACAGCTCCTTGATCAAGATTCAAGGGCCTATTACTTTGGGGCATATCAAGATATGAAGGTTGAGCCAAAACTGCGGAACCCTAAGTACCTGTCTTTGCTCAATCACCTCCGCTTTTACATCCCTGAGATCTATCCGCTTCTGGAAAAGATTGTTTTCCTTGATGATGACGTTGTTGTTCAGAAGGATCTGACACGACTGTTTTCATTGGATTTGCATGGGAATGTCAATGGAGCTGTGGAAACCTGTCTTGAAGCATTTCACCGATATTATAAGTATATCAATTTCTCTAACCCACTCATCAGCTCAAAATTTGACCCACAGGCATGTAGTTGGGCATTTGGAATGAATGTTTTTGATTTGGTTGCTTGGAGGAAGGAAAATGTGACTGCACGGTATCATTACTGGCAGGAACAGAATGCTGATCAGACTCTGTGGAAGCTGGGAACACTCCCCCTGCCCTTCTAGCATTTTATGGACTGACTGAACCGCTTGATCGGAGATGGCATGTGTTAGGATTGGGATATGATATGAACATTGATGACCGTCTGATTGACTGTGCTGCAGTTGTTCACTTTAATGGGAACATGAAACCATGGCTTAAATTGGCCATTGGCAGATACAAGCCTCTATGGGAAAGGTACATAAATCAGAGTCACCCGTATTACCAAGATTGTGTCATTAGTTGAAATGTGCTACTTCTTGATTATTGATATTTATGCGATCTTCGACGTTTTTAAACAGTTGGCCCAGGATCGCATTGTTGTAGAGTCAGAAGTAGAAAATTTTGGCTTTGTTAGGAGTTTTACTTTTCTTTTTTTTTTTTTTTTCCTTTCCCCTTTCAATTATAGTTTGTTAAAGGAAAAGAACGAGTTTTATACCATATAGGATTTAAATCTACTAGGGGCAGAACTGTGGAGGATTCAATTTTGGCTGATGGGGTTTCCTTTCCCCTTCTGCAAGCTGTAGAGTGATTTGTTCCTTAGCAATTCTTGTAATAAATTTTCAGCTCTTATGAATTATATTGTAATTGGACGGACATTTGTTAAGCTGGCCTGTCTCTGTTAATTTACACAACCAGATATTTAGTCCTAATCAGCATTTAACTTTGTTACAGTTTAAATGTTGTATAATCAGTTCCTATATGTAGATTCTGACTTTGAACTTGAGGGGTCTGGTTTTTACCTCTAGTCATGAGATGTTCAGACAGCAGCATGGTTGATCCCATTGCAACGGTCAGACTCACAAAATTCTTCCATGAGGAATTGCGTTGCTACATCCTAGCGTTACAGGAGTAGCTGCTCAGGAACCAGTCTTCAGTGAGACTTGAAAGGGACGAGCAATCTTGAATCAAAAGAAAGGAAAACCAGAGTATCTGGGTTAGTAGACACCTCTCGTTATGTGCTCATAACCAGCCTCAACCCTTTACATGATGATTTTTGGTATAAAGACCAATGCCAATGGATAACAAACAGGTGATACCGGTTAAATCTTTTCTATATTTTAGTATTGTTTTGATTGCTTTATTAACTATTTTTTTTAGCTTTTGCATCTCGCATGTACATTATTATTCAACCTGCAGAGAGGTTTTAATTTATTATTGGAAAAACAAATTATTTATTGAGTTTGTTGATTGAGGAACTAATTAATAATTCTATTTTTGTCATATTTAATAGACTTTGAGATAATTATTGTTAACAGCTTCTACTTGAAGAGACTGACTTGCGCCATAAGTAGTACAAGACGTTGATTATTGATATTTTTGTCATATTTAATAGACTTTGAGATAATTATTACTAAGGAGTTGTCTCGTAAGTATGAATGAATGTATCAGAAATTACTAGGTTGCAATAAAGCTTTATCTGATAAAATATGTTCTTCTTCCATCTATATGTTTTTCTTTCCTTCTTGTTTCTCAACTGCAAGATTGTTATGTGTACAAACTTTCTACAGAAAAACCAGCAGCAATATTAGATAAAGTTACGATAAGAATCCAAACCAGTTAAACTTTGAGATTTATTTGTTTTTGGCAAAAATGGCATACTACAGCTTTGCATGCTCTTTAATTTGTAGAGGCATAGATACTCCATTTTGGCTGTCCAAACTAATTAAAGATTTTTGTTTAAAAAATATGTTTGCTTTTTCGAGGACTGAATAAAATTTAGAGTTTCTAATCCACGAATTTTGTTCTCCATATTATGGGTCCTCTGGCCCATTGGGACCTTTTTTTTTTTTTTTTGGGAAATTTTATTTTCTAAGACTTGATACATATTTGAAACCTAGAAAAGAAAAAACCAATAACAAACTTACAAATGTTATAAAATAAATAGAAGTAATAGGAGAATTGAAGAAAATGATGACAAGAAAATAAAATCACTATAATGTAAATATAAGTGATAAGAACTTCAAAGTTTTTTTATTCTCTCTAGAAAACTTATACACCAACTAATGAACAATTAAGCATATGAATAATCAATTGCATCATTCTTTCAATTTCTCATATTGAATGATGAATTGAATTATATTAAAAATCATGAGTAGTGGAGATATGAAAAGTGGATGAACATGACGATGGACATTCATTATTTCATAACACTCCCTCGAATGTCCATTGTAGAAGAAACATGTCTTGTTAAAACCTTACAAGGAAAAAACCCGAGTGGGCAAAAAATCCAGTGAAGAAAAAAGAGTACAATATTCCTTACACACATTAATCCTCATTTTGGTCTTCTCGTATTGAAGGCATTATTTAAGATCTTTAAGATGACGCATTTCAACCTTGTGAATCATCTTCTCAAAAGTTGTGGTAGGTAATGCTTTAGTAAATAAATCTGCTTGGATTGTCACTTTGATGTATTCTTCCTTCAATGAAATTATGCAAGTAGCATTATTCTCATATGATATTGTTGAAACTTCTTTCATTGGTAGATAAATTGCATGTCTCTCGGATACGATGAATCATTGATCTTAGCCAAATACATTCTCGACTTGCCTCATGAATTGATATTTACGCATGATTTAAAAATGTGACAGCTATAGTTTGCTTTATAGAACACAAAGATATAGCTGGATCTCTATATATAAATATATAATCGATTGCGATCGAGATTTGTATAGATCGGACAAATAACATGCATCCGCAAAACCAACTAATCTTGTCTTTGATTTATTGGAATAATATAAGCTCATATCAATTATTCCTCGAAGATAACGTATTATATATTTAACTTTATTTCAATATCTTTATATTGAAATAGAACTATGACTTGCTAACATATTTATAGAAAAGACTATATCGAGTCGAGTATTATTAGCAAGATACATTAATGCACCAGATGGCACTAAAATATGGTACTTCGGGATCAAGTAGTTTTTCGTTATCTTCTCGAGGTCGAAAATGGTCTTTTTGGATATCAAATGAATGAACTACTATTAGGCTAGTCAATGAATGATCTTTATATAGAATCATTGTAGAACATTTTTCTATATAAATTGATCGATGAATGAAAATTTCATTCTCTTAATACTCGAACCGCAAGTCGAGATAACATTTTGTTTTCTCAAGATATTCACAACAAATTCTCTTTTTAGGTAACTTATGACGCTTGAAATCTCTTCGGGAGTTCCAATAATATTTAAGTTATCAACATATACAACAAACTCTTTTCCAAATAAAAAATATGAATAAATAGAGTTATTTTTTATAACTTTCTTTCAACAAATAATCATTGAAATCACATGCACATGGATTAGTAATAAACAATAGATATATAAATAAAATATAAAAAGTATAAATTGAATTTCTAAAATTAAGATAATAAAAAAATACTAAAATAATCCTAATAGAGATCACTATAATTTAATTGAATTCTTATCTCGAGAATATATATTACATGCTTCGGCATGTTAAGTCCTTTTAGGACTTTCATACCGATTCATCTCGTATGAACAAATAAATTGTGATCACATTTATTAAATACATGTATATGAATGTTTTTCATATATTTTGTCAAGCTAATATAATTGCATCCATTATAGGGGAATATGTCTCCTCATAGTCAATGTCGGTTCTTTGTAAAAACTCTTGTGTTGAAAGTTTTTCTTTGTATCTTACAATCTCATATTTCTTATTTCATGTTCGAATAAATACTTATTTGTATCCCACTAACTTAACATCTTCGTGTGTTTTAGCTATGGGTTCAAAAAACTACTCTTTTGTAGAAGAACATAATTCGCTCTGGATTGTTTTTTTCATTTAGATCAATCATCTTTATGTCAACATTCTTCAATAATTTAGGCTCAAGATCCTTATTTTCATTCAAAATATCAATTAACTTTACATACAAAAATCTTATCAATAAATATTTCTCTTCGGTCCTATTTTCTCCCCGTATTGACATAATTTATCAAAATCTCTTGATTTTTCTTAAGCATTTGGACTTTTTCTGGAAGCCTATTATCATAAATATCTTGGACCGTTTTGTGAATATTTACATCCTTTATATTTTCATCTTATCCTTTTATTTTAGGGATTTTTATCTTTAGAACCGATCGATCTTTCATGCTTCGTGCGTACTTTAAATTCATTAGCTATAATATTAATAGATTGTCATTCTAGGATATCAATTCTAATAGAAGCATTCTCAACGAAGACATGCATTTTATTTACTCTTTTAGGATATGAGAAGACATCTAGCAGTTGGTTTATAATACCTTGTAAATGAATTATCTTGTGAACTTCTAATTTACATTGTTTTGTACCAAATTGATATAAAGATAGAGTACTCCATGTAATCTCTTTTTTTAACATTTTCAATCGCTTATTTTGTTTATTCTCTCCCCCTAATGTTAAAAAAACTATTTCATCAAAATGACAAGTCGATAAATCAAGTTGTAAAAATATCACTTATTCATGATTCAAGATATTTAATTATTAAAAAGGATTCAAATCTAATATATATTTTCAATCTCCTTTAAGTGCCTATTTTATTTCCTTATGAAGGAGCACTAAGGATATACACTGCAATGTCAAAAAAATTCTTAAATAAAAAATATTTGACTCATGATCATAAACCAACTGAAGAGGAGAGAATTTATGATAACTTATGGGTCATATGCGAATAAGTGTTGCTGCATGTAAGATTGTATGTCCCCAAACATAAACATGGAGTTTTATTTTTAAATAATGATTTAGCTATCAATCGGAGCCTTTTGATAAATGATTTTGCTAAACCTTTTTGAGTATGAATATGAGAAATAGGATGTTCAACCTTTATTTTAATAGCCAATTAATAATAATTTAATGCTTGAGAAATAAATTCATCAGCATTATCAAGGTGACTTGTTTTAATGGCATAATTTGAAAATTATGCTCGAAATCAAAGTATTTGCTAGCAATCTTGAAAACGTCAAGTTTCGAGTAGATAATAAGTATATATGTAACCATCTTGTGGATGCATTTATCAAAATCGTAAAATATTTAAATGGTCCACATGGTGGATGAATTGATCCACATATATCACCTTGAATACATTCTAAAATACCGAAGATTCAATCTAAATTTTACTTGATCATGGCTTAATCATTAATTTGCCTTGGCAACGTGCGTAACATGAAAGTTCATTAAATTAAAGAATCTTCTAGCTCTTTAATAGATATTCATATAAATTTTTTAATAATTTTTTCACATCATGAAAGACCCAAGGTAACATAACTAATCATGTCACATAGTAAAAGTATTTGAATTAGTAAACTTATGGTTTACTACAATATTTGTTTCAATCATTTCAATGTTTGTAATAAAGACCGAAGAGAAAACAGATAAATTTTTTTGATAGATATTTTCTACCCAATATAATGATTATAACATATAAGTATTCACATTTTCTATCTTAATATGATATCAATTCAGATGAATATCTTTGAAACTCAACAAATTTCTATGAGACTTTGAAGAGAATAGTACATCATTCAT